CATGCAGACTCTGTTTTCTTATTGGACATACATAATAAATCTTTCATAATATGGTCGGGGAAATGGAAGAGACAAACAAAGATGAAATTCTATAATATCGTATGAGTGTCATATGAAAAAAAAAGAAATAACGATTAAGGATACAGAATTGGGTCAAATACCATCTGACTTTGCTCCAATTTCATTCCCAACTATGTTCGGTCGCTTTGGGATGACTTGCTCCATATTTTTTTTTAATTTGTTTTTGTTTTGGCTTGCACTATGATTCATAGTTTGCGTTTCTGAAGAGGGATAAATTCATGAATAACGTCTTAAAAAAACAGTGTGTTGATCAAATGTCGCTAGAGACTGGCTGACAATCTCCTTGCTGCACGTACTTACGTTTCTAACCTTGATAAAGCTGGACAAAGCATATTTAAGGCTGGTTTTCAATGCTAGCTAAAGCACCTTGATAAACAAAATTGTCACAAAAATGGTCCATTCTAAGGCTGGGCATGAAAGATAGCATAAGGAACCAGTTCATGCCATATATACAGCCCCAAACATACTCAACGTTGATTCTATTCTTCATTATGGATGCTACAACGTCGTTTATCATTTCGATAGCCAGTGTAGTGCCAGGGAACTATGAACATGAATCATAGCTTATAAAGCACTGACCAATAGCCCTCCCTCTAGCTAAAACCCCTGCCTAGACATCATTTATGAGCAAATCCCAAAGAGAGATCTTCTGTCCATGATAAAAATCATCATGAAAGTGTCTTTGACTTCAAAAGAACATAACTCACTTTTACTTCTTTTCTATCCCCTAAAGACATGACACTTACATTAAATCAGTTTCATACCAAAAGATGTTGTTAAAAAGATAATAAATACATTTAAGGAAATGCAAGAAAAAGAATCAGATTCTCGTTGTAATTAAATTTGAAAATATGGTGACAATTTCCACCAAGTCGTGCTAATGTTGTGCTATATATCATCTCAACCAAGCATATTTTTTTGCGACCTTTTTTCATTTAAACAATTTTGGATAAATCCTTCTTCTTTATGTTCTTATCCTCTAAGATAAGTTTGAGAAAATTTATTATGCCATTTATAAGAGATAAATTATAGGGATTCGCACCCAATTTATGAAGGTAAAAGTCTATATGATGTGAAAATAATTTTATTTAACACACAACTATCAAATCTGTGGGAATTTTATTGGTAGTTGACTATAGACATTGATTAATGTGGAATTTCAATGTATTTAAAACGATTTATTTTAGGTGTAACTTATTCAGATAATTAACGGTCGAAATTTTCTTGAAAAATAACGATAATTAAGCGAACGTATTCAAAACAATTTAAAATGTTGAAAGCTCTTCCAATCATCATTCAAAATTCATCCATATCAAAAATCATCAAAAAAGGACTAGACTTCGCCAAAATACTGACACTATCGCAGTTGGCAGGACTCGAACCTACGCTCTAAGATAGAATCTGATTTCTAGTCAGACGCCTTAACCACTCGGCCACAACTGCTTAAAGCTTCATAATTTTGTTATTGAACAAAAACACAACTTCTACTTAGGGGCTGTTCACTTATTACGTAACGCGAAAAAATGACTTTTTAGACCCTTTTAGATAACAAAATTTGTATGAAAAAAAAATTTCCTTGTTTGAACCGTAACAAAATCTTAGACCCCCCGTCCCCCTAAAAGCGTTACGTAATAAGTGAATGGCCCCTTATCGAATTTGAATATTAAGAAGATAAAAATAATAATTTTTTAAGTTTTAATTTTATTTGTAATTTAAAAATACGCTCACAAAGTAAATTAAGTACATTTTCGTGCAGAAAAATAGAACGAACAAATGTTACATGAGTAATTAGCTGCTCTAAATTGATATCGTTATTAAATTCCTAAATTGATGTTTCCAGGAAATGTTTCACGGGGCAGAACATGAGCTGATTTTCATTATTGGTACTTGATAAATCTTTAAGATCTGCAATGGATAGGTTGTTCTTGGACCTTATTAGTAGTGATTAGTATTCAAGGTCGAGTTACAAGAGCGTTTTGAAGATTAGAACAAAGGGGTGCATTCACAAATGACATCTATGAAAAAAATATTTTTGGACACACTTTTCATAAAATTTCCCTTTTGTATGGAAATGTCATGCAGTGACTGGACCCTCTGAAAAGCTGAAAATCATTTATGAATAATCCCTTGGCTTTGCTATATTCTTCAACATTAGCTTTATTCTCATGGGAATACTTTAGATATTATTAGGATTTTTTTTCCTCATTACATGTAATTGCGTAGCATGATCCTTTGAAACATTGTATCCGTCAAGATAATCAAAACCTTCAGTTTTAAGAATATAGATGTAAAAGAAAATTTTCATCCCACATTCCTCAATTTTTTAGACAGCATTTCAAAAAACCTCCCACATAATCAAAATGAATCCACAATCAAGGTTAAAGTGACAATGTCAATCAACATAATTTCTCGTCAATCACATAATGGAAATGATTTTCATCACTTAAGAGAATGAAAAAGTTCTTAAATTTGAATTTCAGATGTCTTTAAAGAAGATTATTAAAGATTTACGAAAAGGAAGCAGAAGGAAAAATTGGCATAATCATGACTAGAAATATTCGCCTACACAGGATTTATTCAGTCATCGTAAAAAAATGCTACAAATAAAATTCGTAAGACAATGAAATGCTTTAAATTTTCTTAAGTGCTCTTGTTCTTGGAATTTTGTTAGCTCGAATATTTTCAGCTGAGGTGTAGGATAAAGGAAGTATCTATCTTTTCTGTATTAAGAGGGTATTTACTTATTTATGATATATCTCATTTCTTTTGGCAGTTAACGGTTTTTTAAAATTCAAAATTCATAATTACAGAACTTTCTTTAAAATTCTAAACGCACTCATCACGTGTTTTATAAATTAAATCAAAAAATCAATAATTATAGTATAAATAAATTGTTGTAAGCTTTCTCCCTAATCGCAACCAAAATAATTAGTTGAAACTGAGCTAATAATAGAAATCAGATCTCTCTAGGATGTCTGATTGAGGAGATTTTAATACTCAGCCCAGCGACCGAACGAACCATTACACAAGCTTTCAAAAATTCTATTAAAAAGCTCCTTAATACAGCGCTATGCAACTTGATATAGTGCCGCATTGCAATCATATTTTTTCATACACATTATTTACGAAAAGTAAGATAAATTTGGCTTACCTTCTTCTTAGAATGAAAATAAAAGCTGTAATAAATTCACTCGTCATTCTTGTCTATACTTGTTAAGACATAAAACATTCAGTCAGATTTCTTTATCTTCAATTCGAGCATGTTAACACATGAATATGTGAACACTCTTGAATCTTTCATTCCGTTTCTCTTCTAATTTGTTATGCCTCACTACAGTACAAGCTTATTCTTATTTCTCATTTAGAAAAGTAAACTCTCTGGGGTGCTTTTTGAAGCATACATGAGAAAAAATCAGAAAAGTCGTTCAATTTAAGAAATTAATTTTTTTGTTGACTTTTGTATTTGCTAGAAATAAAGCATGACGTTTAGAAGAATGTATATTAGTGCTTGAAGATTATGTGAACTACTGAAGTAGTAATTCGAAATTGACGTCTATTCCTTTTACTTCCTACCTTAATCGCATTTTGTTCTTTTAATTAAAAGAATATTAATAACTTCTAAAATGCAGACGACAAAAGCAAAGTATAATCAGGTTTAAATCTCTCCACTTAAAAGTTTGACTTTTTTTGACGACGCCCAAGAACAGATCTCATTACAATTATTCTGCTGAGTCCAAAAATAATAATTTCCTTTATACGTAACATTCAAGCGTCCTCCAAAATATTGACAAGATTACTTAAAAATATCATTCAAAATTCCTCTAAGGACTTTCAACTTTAATTAATAATGATCAACCTTTTGCTTAGTATTGTGGAAGATATTTCCAAAAATTTATTACATTACGCATTAAACTCATGGTAACCAAATGACTTCATTTCAAAACTTTCTGCCTCAATTCAGGAAAGATCAAAACACAGTAAGTTTCTGTTTAATTTTAATAAAATGTAAGTTACTTCTCTAAAAAAAATTAGAGCCCTTTGTGCATGTCGAATAGAAATGTCAAGGTCTTGTAGATATCTATAGACTTTATCGACAATGTTTTAGACAAAATGAAGAAAATGAAACCTTTTTGATTGTTGAAGCTATATAATCAACATAAACTCGAGCCATTGAGGAATTTAATATCAACTGATCTATTCGTTGCTCTTATTTCATTTAAAACAAGCCCTTGTGAGTGGTTTCGAATATGAAAATACTTCTGACAATATTCTTTTTTCATTTGATGTTTCATTCTCGGATCCTTTTTTTAGAGAAACATTAAAGCTTTCTGCTAGTAGATGTAAAGGTTTATTGTGGGTGTTTCAGTAATTTTATATCTATCGAACCAAAGATTTTTATCGGTTTTCATTTGGTTCTGTTAAAACTTCATATTATTATTGTATTAAAAAATCAAAACATCGATTCTTTACTGATTCAGACTTAATTGACATATGCGATTTTTGGTTTTGATCTCAACTTTTAACTTTTAAAGATATGATTTAGATTTCTATAAAATCAAGCATAAAAATCTAGTAAAGCTTCAAACAATAGAATAGATTCCAATGTTAAACATGATAAAGTTCATGAACAAGAGGAATATGTATCAGCTCTGAAAGTTCGATTATCTCTGATACAACTGAGTTCATAACAAAATTCTATCATAAATGTCGCAATTCCCAACAATCCAATTCAACAATTTATATAGAAAAGTTTCAATTTAATTTTAAAACATTGTGTGCAGTGGCATGTATATTCATATGTGTGATACATACATTCAAACAAATATTCTGCTCGAGGGATGAATTCACAATTTACATCAATCTGTTTGTTTGCTTAAATGTTTCATAATCATTTTAATTTCCGTTCCTTTATTTTACAGACAGAACAGTTTACAGTTTTGTGGATACTTTTTGCTGTGATTGTATTAGGAAATAGTGCAGTACTTGTCACTTTATACCTAAATAAACGAAAGTCAAGGATGAACTTTTTCATTAAGCAACTGGCTATTGCAGGTAAAGATTGAATCTTAACACAATCTTAATTACATAAAGGAAAATAAATTGAAGATAAGTTAAAAAAAATTAAAATTACAATCAAGATTTTTCAAAAAAAAAAATATTCTTTGTCCTTTCCAGATCTCTGTGTTGGCTTACTCAACGTTATGGTCGACATAGTATGGAGATTTACAGTTACATGGGAAGCAGGAAATCTTGCATGTAAATTTATAAAATTTATGCAAGCTCTAGTCACTTATGGATCGACCTATGTACTTGTGGCTCTCAGCATTGACCGCTATGATGCTATAACACACCCGATGAACTTTTCCAATTGCTGTACGTCCTATGTATTTTTAAGTGAATGATTCAATGTTTTAAATATGATTGTTTTCTGAGAAAGATGTGTGATTATTTCTATTCTGTCCATCTGCTGGTTTGTCTAGTCTTCTTTTGAGTTAAGATATCTGCTAAGAGCTATTATTAGTTTAAAGACAACTATGATGGACTCGAATCTACCTCATGTTTTCCAAATGTCTTCAAACCATAGCAAAACATCATAATTGGAAGGTCTGGATGAAAAACTCCCACCGATTTCTCATCATCCTGTTTACCTTCTTACTATGAACCATCTTTCGTGTTGACATTTAATTCTGAAGTCGATTCGAGTTGACTTTAAAAGATAGAATGTCTTAATGTAAGAAATGCGCTCACAGAATCTTCAACCATTCTTAAAAAAGTAAAATTCTTTACTCATGTTTTTATACTCGTCATGCCATAAATTTAGTTTTTTTTGCTATCCTTAGGTTAAATATTCAATTAACAGCTCTATCTTTTCTCTATCTATTTTTCATTCACACACTGTCGATGTCTTGTGCATGGACAATATATTTATAGGGAAACGTGCAAAATTGCTTGTAATATTTGCATGGTTTTTCAGTGGACTATTCTCAATACCTTTATTTATATTATATGAAGAAACTGTAATTCAGGGAGTAACACAATGTTGGATAGAATTAGGAGATGCATGGAGATGGCAATTATACATGACATTGGTGTCAGCATCACTTTTCTTCATTCCTGCTATTATCATAACATTATGTTATGCAATTATTGTTAAAACTATATGGGACAAGGGTACCTATAAAGTGCCAAAGAAGGATCGAAAGAGTCGTAATCGATTGAGCTGTGATGAGGATGATAGAGGAAGTAGACGGGCGAGTTCCCGTGGTATTATTCCACGTGCCAAAGTAAAAACAATAAAAATGACTTTTGTGATAGTGATTGTATTTATTGCATGCTGGTCGCCATATATCGTATTCGATCTATTACAAGTATTTGATCAAATTCCAAAGACACAAACGAACATAGCGGTTGCAACATTCATTCAGAGTCTCGCACCGCTCAATTCAGCAGCAAATCCCTTGATTTATTGTCTGTTTTCGACGCAACTCATGCGAGGATTTAAGTAAGTACAAAAATAGAAAATTAATATTGCGTTTTTTTGATAATTCATCTTTTCTTTAAATCCCTATATCACAGACGTACATCGGCTTACCGTTGGCTGTCAAAAATATTTTGCTGTAAAGACCCTGGAGATCATTCGTCGCATAAATATTTGAGAGGTCAAAGGACATTAACGAGCTCGACAGTAACAACATCTCTAACAAATTCATCAGCACGTTCAGTATCCATTCATCGGCCTCATAAAGTTGTTAATTTTGACCGTCAGAGCACTATTATTGCTGACACAAACAGTAGATGATGTTATAGAGAAACTGTATTCCTTTATGCTTAACTTTTATGCAAACAATAAGCTCTCTTTCTTGTTTTTCTTTTCTATTCCACCTACATCATGTGTGGCATTGAGTAACAATAAACTATATCAACAAATGATTTCTTTTGAAATTTTATTCTGTAAATGAACGGAAAAGCGTTGGAAAATGTGGAAAAATAGTATATACTAAGTACATGACAAAAAGATCTTCATCATATTCTCATATCATGAACAGATGGAAACATTCATTTGAAAACTATAAGAATAAAGATAAGTAAGATAAAGATGATGACGAAGGCACAAAGCATATACACCCACAATTATAGGAAATGCTGCATGAATCTTTGATGTAAATACAAAGGGGTGGTAAAATCTTTACCAATTGGTTTGGTGTAAAGCTGTAAATTTTAAATTTCAGTTTTTGAAAATGATTAAAAGTTTGAAAATTAAGTTTAAAAATTCGAAAACTGGTTCTTCAATTCAAAATCTGGTTCTAGAATTCGAAATGTAGTTCTAAAGTTCAAATACTGGTTCTAGGATTCGAAATCTAGTTCTAAAATTCGAAAACTATTTCATAAACTCAAAAATTAGTTCTTAATTAAAGTTTTAAAATTCAAAAACTAGTTCTTAGGGGGGTTGCGAGTTGTAACATATTGTAACAAGGGGGGAGGGGGGGTAAAAAAAGTCGGTTTTTTGCGTAACGTAATAAGTGAACGGCCCCTAAGTAAGAATCTCAAAAAAAAATATTCAAAAACTTTTGGAGAAATTTAAGAAAAACATAAATAAAAATTTGCCACCCCTGTACAGATACATAAAATGCATAAAATGTGTAGTAAAAAAAAATTTTTGTATTAATAAATGAGAAAAAAAATGTTTTATTTTCCTTCTTGTGTATAACAATGTGGAACAAATAAACAGATCTAGATCAAAATTATCATTCTTGGCATTTTTTTTTATCTATTACTGTCAATGGAAAAGTGAGTGGAATTAAAAGACCATAAAATTCTTTACAGCATTAATTCACCCACATTCAACAGCTTTCGCACTAAGGATTTAAAGAGAATGTTAATTGCATTTTCCATATTTTTCAAGCATCATCACTTGAGATACTCAAGTTGAGAACTTGATCCATAGCGTGAATTGCATCTAAATAAGGTTGCATGGAAGATGAAAAACTTTTGAAAAAACTCAACAAAACATTTTTATCTTTTTAGTCGAAGCATCTTCTTTGATGCTTCTGTTCCTGTTTAAATTTTCAATTTTATTTATTAAGGCTTCGAAGATCGTTTGTGGCTTCAATTCCTCTACAGAAATCTTCAATACTTTAATTTAAGTCGTTCCAGTTTTCATTTAGCCATTTAAACAAAAAAAAATCAACTTTTATAAATTAAATTAACAGCATGACATCAGACATCGAAGCTGCAATACCAGTTAGTGTACGAAAGAATAAAAAAATTAATTACCAGAAAATCAGCATTGATTACAGAATCAAGAAACAGCGGTTGATTGTGTCATTAATTATATTGGTTCAGTGAAAATGTCATTTAAGGTTTGGAAGTCTTTAGAAAAATTAGTAAACTTACATAACGTAATTTCTTCATTTTCATTTTAGCATATGACATTAACTTGATTAGATTGTTGGTGTGAAGCCTCCGAAAGTAATTTAGACGTTGTTCGATAAAGGTAATAAGAAAAGTAATTCATTTCTTACTTTAAGAGCTGAGGCTTTATCAAACAAAAGAAATATTTCCTACAGAAATTTTCATCCCAGCACACAAAACATCCTGCTCATTTATAAATATAAATCTATTTACTTTCTCTTAACTTTTGTTATTTACCTGATTTAATAATCACAGAAAAGGTTTTAAAAAGAAATCAAAAATTCACCGAACAGAAAATTCTAAAGAATTCATCAAATAAATATCAAGATGTATTCTTTAATAATGGTTCCTTCTCAGAATAAGAAATTGCCTTTTTGACATAAATATTTCCAGTTAAGCAATAAATTTAATAAAATTAATTCAATTTAGTTCAAGAACAAAACTTAAACGTTTTAAAGAATAATTTAATTAAACTGACTGTCAATAGAAAATTAAAAGTTATGGATATAAACTTCAAGTGTTCTTTAATTAACTGGTTTGCTGCTTATTTTTAAAAACAAAGAACAGATAATCAACAATTCTCGTCTTCTACTTTCTAGAAGTTTATTAAAGAAAAGTTTCTTTTTAAAAAAATAAAGTAAGTAAAAATAAGAAAAAAGGTTTAAAAAGATAAATCACTGAGAGAAGACATAAGCTTCGGTATTATACACTGAGCAACTATTTGTTCATCACATAAAATGGATATTTCTATTTATGGGAAACATTTAAACTTTCCGATATATATCATTTATGGAATCAATTAGGTGTGAGACTTGCACCAGTGAGTTTTGTTCTTGTAATTTATTTAAGCTGCTTTTTTAGGGTTATTCTGGTTGTTTCTAATGAAAAGGCATTGACATTTCCCGTAATAAATTGTATTTTTCGGATAATTTCACTTCAATTTATTTTATAAACAACACATGAATAATTGATATCTAATAGGTAACAGAAAACCACTTTTAATGATGGAACGATTTATTGAAAAAAAAAAAATGAAATATTTTTGGATGAATAAATCGTCATTTTATCAAATCATAAAAATGTTTATTAATAGAATCAATAAAAATGCCGCAATTGATAATATAAAAGTGTGGTAAGTAAAATCATGGTTTTTCTATTTTAAATAAGCTTTTTGTAAGTTGTGAATAAATTACAATATAGTGAAGTTTTATTTCAATAAAATAATGATTAATTGTTTTATATGAAATTTTGTTGCATTTTTTCAGTAAACCTTCATCAAAATTTACTTATTCCAGCAAAGTTTTACCCATCGTTCAATGTCTCCTCGAAAAATGTTAATTGGAACTTTATTAGCGTTTATTAGTTCATGTATCATAAAGATGAGAAATAAACAGAAATTTCTGATTATTTCGACGCTAGTGAAATGATTTATTGTATGGAAACAAATCATTAAAACCGAGGAGCACAATTTGGAAATTATATTTTTATGTGTACTTAATCATTAAAACCGAGGAGCACAATTTGGAAATTATATTTTTATGTGCACTTAAATACAGGGCTTTTGCAGAATAAAATCTTAAAATCTTTCTCATTTTTAAAATGAAATGAGTAAGTTTTTACAACAAATTGAAGTTTTTCAAAAGATCTAGCTTCCAACACTATCCTTCTATTCTCTAAAATTAATTAAAATCAAACAGACTAAGTGTTACAATGCTGTACCACTTTTAAAAATTTAAGCTTTCAAATTAATTTCATTATCAACACATTTTCACTTTGATGTTGCTCGGGTATCCGTCCAGACATTTATTAAATTACATCAATATGACCAATAAATTTAATCTTGTGGCAAAAATTATTTTCTTACATACAGCATCAACATTCAATTATTTTAGACTGTTTCATAAGTCACAGCATCTTGTGTGAAATAATTGAAATAATTTAAGATGATTAAGGTTGATTAAGGATGATTACTGAATTATTTATAATTGATCAATTAATTTTTTTTGAATTATTTAAAGTTAATTTTTGACTGCTTTCATCTTTCACCGTTACCAGGAAAAAGTTTGGTCTTCTTTGGCTATTCTACTAAGCACAGGTATCTCCCACTCCTAACAATCACTTGTATAATAAAGGTTTTCCTAAATAAATTGCGATTCTGTATCTTTAAATATGTTTAAGAATTACCATGAAATTCTCAATAATCCTGTAAGTAAATGATTAGTCTTCTTAGCATTCAAAAGCATTACAAAACTCTCCCACTCAATTTTTTCGTGGTAAAAATAAACAATTTCTATAGAATTTACCTTTCTAATGAATAGGCGCTTGTGAAAATCTTCAACTGCTTCAACAGATTGTTTACACTCAAATCAATTTCCTCAATTAATTCTTTTTCCAACACGTGTAGCAGAGATTTATATAAAGTTTGTTTAGTGTAATAAAAATCAACATCCTTAATGTGATCCACTTATCAATCATAAAACTAACAATGTATGATCTCATACACCCAGTTTCAGTCATAAAAAAGACAGCACTAGAAATAATAATAAAAATGAACTCTATTGCGAAAGCAGCATGCAACCATGAATCATAACAAATTAGTTATGAATTTATAATCGAAAGATTGTAGAGAGAAAAAAACTGATATGGATCATTAAAAAGCAAGCAACTGTAGTAGATCAATTACAGAAAGGTTTATAACTTTTTTCCTTTCATTCATTTTTCATGAGCTGCTTGCTACGTGAAAATGCATTTTGGAATCTCGTTTCATGCGCATTTTGCCAGTTCTCGCTCACTTTACCACATTTCATTTGATTGAATTCTTCTTCTTGAGCTTTGCTCGCATTTGTAAGAAATACTGCAAAAAAGCGGCATTAATTAACATTAAATTAAATTAACGTTATACATCATATATAGGTGCATTTAAAAAAAGAATGCTATAGGCTATAAAAATCATAAATGTGAAAAAAAAATCTAAAGCGTTATTAAAGTAAAAAGAAATGACAAGATCTCAAAACGGAGATAAAATTCCATTTAGTTATTGAATGTTTCGTTTAAAATATGTTCCATTCTTTGCTAATAAGCTTTTATAATAATTACAATCGATCATTATCTGTTAAATGCAACAGCATTTCAGTTTTGATGTTTTTTGTTTGATTTTAGATGCTGTGGATTGGCTTTGTAAACGTTATTTCTTTTGATTCTTTTATTTACCACCATTTTTTATTTCAAATGTTGATTTAAAATTTCAAAAATTGAATTTATCAATTTGCAGGTTGACTTAAGACATAATTTTGATAATCACTCTTTTGCTCACTCGTTTTAATCACTTTTCAATCATTTCAATGTTGATCTATTCGATATTAAATTAAAATTACAGTTTCGAAAATTCCAGGTGACAAAAAAGTCAAAATCCAATCCACACGAGTTAATTAAATGCTAGAAAATGTGCAAGTATAAATCAAGAATTGGCTGATAATATGATAAATGCATTTATAAGATACAGAAGTTGTGAATGGGAATACTTAATGCGTTTCTGACATTAAAATATAGCAATTCTTAAAGCATTCAATTTATCATAACTTCTGAGTCAGAAGCTAAAATATGAATTGTACAATCTCGCTTGCAAATGATCTTTTCAATAATTCCAACTATAGTGCGGACTTAAAGGCTTCCGCATTTCCACAGTAGTACTATAATAAATCACTTCTTTCGTTAAGTACTATCCAAGCTCATTCCATGCACGTCTTTTTACTTATTTTAATGAGAAAGACAAATTGGGTTCGATTTGCGAGCGAAGATTTTTGTGTCAATTTTTATTTGCAGACTGAAAAACAATCATGATGAGAAAAAATATTGTAGCACGTTGCACTTTTTTGTATGGAAAAAGAACAAAAAGAAAGGCGATAAATGATAAATGGCAGCACATGTCTGAAAAAGAGAGATGGATAGAAATGAAGAAATAAATTCTGATGAACACTTTGATGATAAAATAAAGTTTCTTTTGCTTCATTCGAGCGTGCATAGTTAGCTATTATCGCCTTTGTTTATTTAAAACTTTGTTCCTCAACATTTTCTGAAAAAGTTTTATTTGTTTCCATACTTTTTTGTTATTTACGTCAGGGATTTGAAGTTTGTGTTAAGCTTAGTTGAGTTCCATACTTCAAAATAAAATTATAATATAGTCTACAAAAGAGCTTGATACTTGACGATATAAATCAATGAAGTTGCCAACCAACACCGCCTAGAATGTTAAAACTTAATTTAGATCCAATTCAGT